TTAAATTCACACACAATTTTATTTTCTGATAATAATATACACGCATATTTTGTATACAACATTTTGGAATATTATCATTTTTATAAAATTCTTTGATTAAACAGAGATTACTTTTTTTTAACAAAACTTTACAATTTAAAGTTTCTTTAAAAACAATTGTAATATTTTTATAAACAAAAGTATTTTTATAAACAAAAGTAAACACCAATATTTTTATAAACAAAAGTAAACACTAATATTTTTGTAAATATTTTAAATTAAAAATTTATTAATTTTAATCATATGTCTGTTTTTCATTTTTCTCACCAGATATTAAAACATAAATATTTTTTTATTCGTTGTTATATGTATGAAAAATTTAAAACATTGAAGATGTAAGATTTTTGTAAAAAAGAATTAAATAAAAATTTTTTAATCTGCGTATAATTTGATAGATTTAATCAGTAATTATATAACTAAACATAATAGTATAATTATATACTCTAAAGCAAAAAAAATCGTCAACTATACTTAAATTTATTTAAACATAAAATAACAATAATATGTCTAATAACTATATAATGAATATTTAAGATTTATAAAATTAATCAATGATTTAACAATTTAAATAAAAGCAATATTTATAATTTTAAATTCGTTTCTTTGATTTTGTTAATGTTAAGTTTGAACTGTTTAATTTCATTTATTTTACAATCTTATTATTCTTAACCGCGCCAATATCTTTATTGACCATTCCTATCATCATATTACTATAACATATTAAATTACCTACTATTTATGAAATCTAATTAACATTTGATTATTATATTACAGCTAACTGGACTTTGTGCTGCCAGCCCTCGTGAAGCATTAGAGTAATATTGTCTTTTGCTAGATATCAAATGATAAATACTGTACTTGAAGAAAGATCTAAAGCAAAGTTATCGATGGAGACTGTAGAAAATTATAATACTCAAGTTGAAAGCTTTCTAAATCGGTGGCGCTACAAGAATGTTCTCAAAAATTTTACAAAGCTTCAGATTGACAACAATGCTACAAAAAAATGGCTTCTATTCTTGACTTCATTATATATTTAAAAAAATAGCGTCTGTGTTAATTAAATATATAATTTTAGATATAGCATAGAATATTTAAGATTCTTTTTAAAAAAAAAAGTATATAAGAAAGGTAGATAAATTTAACTTAAATCACAAAAAGAAAGAAAAAAAAAAGATGTTTTAAAATTTGGTAAAAATGACATTGTATAGGTAATAAATAACAATATCAAACGTAATTTATATCTACATTGCTTATCAATTCAATATGATTAATTAATATTTAGTAATTATATTTATTAATGATACAACGTGCTCTATTTTAATTATCTCTGTATATATATATATATATATATATATATGATACACAGATAATGTTCCCATGTTTAGTTTCTCTTCTCTCAGTTTTATATTTTTAAAGAATTTAAACTAAATTTAGGCTTTTAATTAAAAAAATCATTATATTTTTCGAGCTTCCATTTTAAAATAAAATAAATATATTTAACAATTTTTGTAATTGTAATTAAACGAAGATTTTATGCTTTAAATTAAATTTGAAATTAGTTGATCTTGAAATAGTTAAACTAAGTTAAATATCTATTTACATGTATAAAATTTAATTCTGATTCTTAATTACATTACTGTTTGTAACATTCAGCAATACAAGACATCAGCTCAATGAAACCTGTTATTCTTTTAAAGTTTAACCATGACGTGTTTTAAAGACTATCTTAAAGAAGAAAATATCTGGAATATTTAGTACATTACGTTAATATCCTTATATATATATTACATGGACATGATTGGAACCCGCTGCAGAATAAAACCGAAAGGAATGTAAGACATAAACTCGTTACCGAGATTTAGATCCATATTTGTGATGACAATGATAAATTCTTCATAATCCTCATACACGTGCCACGAGTTAAATGCAATCACATACTCGATGCTGGTAATTAATTATAAACAGTACGATATAAGAATCGTGAAAAGAGCCAGACGATCCCTGCTTTTACGCCGTATATCTCAAAATATTTCATTTTTAATATAATGTTTGCATTATTTTATTACATAATAAGTTAATAAGAATAAGAATATCAATGTTTCTTTTTTAGTTTACTTACATAATTCTAAAATTGATACAATTTGAAATTCTTATATTATGACAATGTACCTTTAAGATTTATAAAAATATTTTTGTTTCTCTCACGCTCTTTAAGCGCGAATGAAGCAACAAGTAATTGAAGAAGTTAAATATTAAATTTAAAAAGTTATCTTCGCTACAGGATGTATCAAAATAAAAATAAAAAGTTATCATAAAAAATTAACACGTAATTAACGAGGAGTTTATATTTTGTATAACCACTTATCCTACTTTCTCATGTGGATATAGAAGAGTATTATTCAGATAAGAATAGAGTGACTTAGTCATCCCGAATCTCTCTGCGGCAATGTCGAAAAACTTTCGTCTGGGTTTTTCGTGACTATTTTGGACGATGATTCACCATTTCGAAGAATCATAAATATCTCCAATAAATAAATTAATGTTTCATATAAGAAATTAATATTTCATTTTTAATGTTAAAAGATAAAGAGTTTGTATAATAGACAATGTTTAACTACTATATATATATATATATAGTATATACACATATATGTGTGTGTGTGTGTGTATAACGCAAATAAAGTATTTTATATTAAATTAGATTTATTAAGGATTATTGGAATTTATAAAAAAGAGCTTAAGATTAACATAAGAATTTATAATATAAAAATTATATCTCTTTCATGTTCGATAATATTATGTCTGGCGCAATTATGTGCAATTTGCGATGAAGATTGTAATATATATTAGCACGGCAACTCAATTTACATCTTAAAAGAAGAGTAAATCGTCTTGTTTACGATTGTGAAACTATTTTCAAAAATCATTGTCATATAAGTGGTCGGTTACTTAAATGTTGTATAATTCTTGCATGTTATTTTA